GGGGGGGGCGGGGGGGGGGGGGGGGGGGGGGGGGGGGGGGGGGGGTGTTGGCGACGGGTGGTTCATGAGGACTGCCAGTAGTGTCTGCACTTTGTCTGTGATTTGTTTGTGGCAAGTGACTTCTTGCGCTTTGCACTAATGCGCTCCCTCGGCGGTTGTCGAGTGGGGTTTGGCATTGCGTGTTAACCTGGTCTTGGCCATCCAATAGTTGGTACGACGCACGTGTGTGTGTGTGTGTGGTGTTGGTCGGTCTGTATGTCTTAATGTGACGTGTTGTATGAGTACAGTGCGGGTGATTTGATGTGTGTGGCTGTGAGTGATGTGCCCCCTCCGCCCAATGAGCTGAGCAGAAAAGTGCGTCGCGCCAAAAGGAGGCGACTGACTGACTGAGTGGTCGGTCGGGCGGGCGATCGCGCGGCTAAATGCATTGCAAATTGAATCATGCCTTTTCTTTCTTTGGTGAAGAGACTTCATGAGTGGGTGTGGTGTGTATCATATATAGTTCATGGGGAGGGAGGGGGAGGGACATTTTATTTGGGGAGGATTGATGCATTGACTGACAGATGAGATGTTGCAACGGCGATGAATTAACAAACTGTGTCGGCGAGCAAGTCAGACTCAAATCACGCGACACGACATTGATCAGTTCCGTCAGAGGGAGCCAGCTAGATCTCCCTACCTCCCCTCCTACCTATGGCCCTAAATCTTGCGTGTAACGCTCTTTCGCCAATTCTTAGCTCGCCAAGTTAGTTTTCGCTTTAAAGATGCCTCATCTGCGTCAGTTCCCACCGTGGTTGCCGTGCTGGCGCTTGCCGGCGTCAGCGCGCTTTCTCTCGACGAGCCCGACGCTTCTGCAGGGCAACCAGTGGAACAGAGGTCCTGGGCGGCCGTATCGGAGTCAAGAGGAGATCAACCGAGAGGCCAGGAGGCGCACAGAAGAGTTTGAGAGAAGATGGTGGGATAACTGCGCCAGACGCTCGTGTGCACTCATTGCATGTCTGTGTGCTTCTCTGCAGGGGTCCGAGGTTTGAGCGGTGGCAGCGAGAGGGCGGGGCCTACGCCGACGGCGCTCGGATTCTGGAGCGATGGATCCGACGGGGCTATCGAGAATACGCCAGACAGGTGAGTCAATGCAGTATAGGGAGCGTCCATGACAGTGTGTTTGTGTGCCTACGTGTCGTGTCTGTCGTGCAGAGTGAGCGGTGGCGGTCCATCATGCGGGATCCGTTCCCCCAGAGCTATGATGAGACCAAACGCATGCTGCCAGTGGCGGCTGTCGTAGCCACAGGTCAGTCAGTCAGTCAGTCGGCCCGTCAGTCAATGTACCACGGCAGATGGATGAATCAGCGGTTGTCGGTTGACATATATGCATCAGGTGCCTGGTGGTTTGTGTACGGCTCCTCCTTTCTGCTGCTGTACACATCCCTCCACACCAACATGTCCATCTTCCGGGGAATGAAACGGTCAGCCAACACGCGCACACACAATGCATCACTGGCACCGACACACAGATGAAGGCGGCCCAACATGGTGTGTGTGCATCGTCCCTGCCTGGGCCTGCAGGTCCGTCCTCTCTATGCGCCCACGCACGCCCTCTACCCAATCTGCCCAGGACAAGAAGAAAGAGTCGGCCGAGACGATTCTCTCGGCCGAGTACGAGACCAAGAAAACCAAGCGGCAGAAAATGGGTCTGCCCTCCTCCTTTGAGACCTACAAGAACGAGGACCAGGACGCAGACACCCTCGCCATCCACAACGTGCTCGAGACCCCCAAGAGCTTCATGTGGCGCGCTTTCTGGACGGCCGTCATCACCATGGCTGGCGTGCGGCCGGCGATTGACTATTACGACAGGAACATTCGCAACAAGATGGTCAGGTACACGGTGAGCGCGGGCCGGAAGAAAAGCCGGGTGTGGCAGTGGATTGAGGACATCATGCGTCGGGTGGCCAAGACGCCCACATGGAAGTTCTTCGTGACGCAGCGGCTTGCGCGCGTCGCGCGGGTCGACTGGGTGAAGATGGTTCGGAGCGAGGAGGTCATCCGGTGGTGCAAGACCCTGGGGCCGCCGGTGCTGATTTTCCTGGTGCCGACGATGTGGCTGCTCGCCGGCCATAGATGATGCGGGCGAGATCTAGACGTGTAGACGATGGTGGGGGGGTGGCTTCTCCAGTCGGTGTATGTGTGTATGTGTATTTGTGTGTATTTGTGGCTGATTGCGGTGAGTATGGGGTGCACCAAGTGCAGGAATGGTTCGTCGACTGGCACATTCATATGCGATGCGATGCCAGCTGTATGTATGACACACCGTCTGTCCGTCAATTCATTGATCCACAGTCATCAACTTGCTCCATTTGACAGACAACACGATCCAATCTTCCCACTCCCATCGCACAGCTGGTGTGTGTCCATCACGTCACCAATACCCATGCACACACATGGCCGCTCGCCTCGCCTTGTCAGCCCCTCGCCGCGATCAAAGGTGAGGCGGTGGACGGCGATGGGGGTGAGGGCTGGCAGATGCCTCTAGCGTCTCAATCAGCTCCGGCTGGCCCACACTGACACAAAAGCAACATAGCGCCATTCGCACGTCGCATCGGCTGTCTGCCTTGTGACTTACCCTGCTGTTCTGTACGCTTCAAGCAGCATGGCGACCTCGCCCTTGTCTTGGCCCTCCCTCGCCCACTGGCTTACCGACCCTTCAATGGCCTCCAAACACCACCTGGCCTCGTCACACGCTGCAGCCGTCTCGTCACCCTGCTGCTCATCGCCCAGAGCCATGATGGACAAGGCGATGGCTAGGTCAGGGAGTAGAGGCGAGTCGGCCTGTCTGGCCTCGATCTGACGCCGCACGGGGACCAGCTCGGAACGGAGAGACCGGAGGTAGCGGGCATCGGTCACCTGACGAAACGAACGAACGAACGAACGAACGAACGAACGGCCCACTGTGTGTCAATGAGTTTGATTCCTTGTGTGTGTGTGCCTACGTTGAGTGCGGCAAGTGCAACGGCGAGGTCAACGAGTGTCCGCAGAGGGATCGTTGTGCGGCTGGTCACTCGGTCAAGGGCACGGCACACACGGCGCACGTTCGCCCTGCGTCGCATGCACAACACAGAGATTTGGGCAGGTGCTTGTGTATTTGTGTTTTGTCCTTTTTCCCTTCGCACCTGAGCACGTTGGCCAGAGTCCCCTTGATGGGTCTGTGGTTGGTCTCGGCTGAGGCGAGGGCGAGCTGGGCCATCATGCGCCCGAAAGCCGAGCTCATCGCGTTGCTCCCCTTAGCGTGGCGCATCGCACGATCGCTGCACACAGGAAAAGAGAAAGAGTGTCACCGGTTGAATCCACACGTACGACACTCACTGAGGCACGTCCCTCCGTCCGTCCGTGCGTACCAGAGAATCTCCTCCACTCGCTCGAGCATTATGCCCACTGTAACGTCCCCATCTCGCCTCCGGTCATGCCACCACCTCCCCAATGCTAACATGCCCTTGCTGAGAATGCCCGTAACGTCGCCCACGTTGCCCTCCACACACACATTCACGAAGCGGCAGATGTCCCGCGTCTCGCACATATTCCCCTCCCCGCCTGCGTTGGCCCTGTCCAGCAGCTGCTCGCCTTGCATGGCAAGGGCGTCCAGATGGGGGCGGAGGTCGGGCTGCGGGAAGGGCAGCACCTGGTGCAACATTGCTGTTATGTACTGACAACGAGCGGCATGGGACAAGGAAAGGAGGCACGGATAATGTGCGTGTTCACCAGCGATGGCGTGCTCGTGCTCAGGTCACCCTGAGAGCGGTCCGCGTTGTCCAGGGTGGTGACTGGATGCGGTCGACCGTGAAGTGACGAATGAAGGGGCCGGTGCCCGGTGCCTCGGCAGCAGCCATCAGAGCCTCAGAATGTCGAACAATGCTGACTGCCGACATTGCCTCCTGCGCACATACACACAGATACACACACACAGAGATAGATAGAGAGAAGGAGAAAGAGATAGAGAGGGAGAGGGAGAGGGAGAGAGAGAGAGACAGGAATTATGCACATTTGCTTCTTCAAGTGAAGATCCCGTGCATTACGACAGACTAACGTGTATTGACAGGGCTTGTCTCTTGTCTTCCTTGATGATCCTCTCAAGCAGCGGCACGTGGAGGGCGGCGGAAACATTAGTGTGTTGCGAGCAGAGCCACAGGAGCGGGATCAAACCCTGGGGAAACGAAACGGCACAGACAACGAAGTCAGCCCATCCCATCGGTGCACACAGTCTCCTCTGTTCTTTCTCTTACCTCCCTCTCCTCCTCGGTCAGCTCTGTGCCGTCGCGCAGTCGCTCCGTCCACCGCGCAAACCCCTCCTGTGTCGGCTTCTCTCCTCCCCGCCACCTCCACATGTTCACCGCCCATTGCACCAGCCCAACCTCCCCGCCCACCCGCAGCATTGCCAGCAGCGCCCGCTCCTCGTCCGTCTTTCCATACTTCCTTTCTTTCTCAAGAATGCCTTTTAGTGCCTCCCTTTCGCTGCCTCTCAACTTGCCCATCCGAGCCATGGCCACGTCGGCAAGAAGCGATCGGAACCTCTCAACAGTGCCGTCCCCGCTGTCCTCCTGTTCCCGCGCGGTCACCTCGAACAGCGACACGAGCACACCGCCATGCACCTGTTGCGGGATGGGCTCCTCCTTTGCGTCCAGCAGCGCATTCATCAGTTTCCGTTTGACCTCCCCTGCCTTGTTGACCGTCGCACGGGCAGCCAGCAGGAGCCAAGTGCCCTTAACGTTGCTGCAGTAGAAGGTTGGGTGGGACTGGAGGGACTGCATGAGCGCGGTGTCTGCGAGGTCGACAAATGCTGGGGCGGCGAAGGGGAGCAGAGGGGCATACATGACCTGCAGCAGGGCAGCGAGATGGCGGGGTCGCTCGGAACAAGCCGCGAGGAAGCCTTCCGTGTCGTTGAGGGCCCTGTAGGAGCGACCACCAAGTACATGTATGACGAATGCAGCCGGTACACGATGTTCTCTTTCTGTTCTCACTTGGTGGCTATGCCGCGCCGCACCCCTTGATCAATCACTCCGAAGCGGTCAGCGGCCTGTGCAATCTGTCCCACGTACTTGAGCATCGTCCTGTCCCACTTCCAGTCCCCCTCCACCAACGCCTCCCCGTCGATGGCTGCAACGGCGTCACTCAGAGACTCTCGCACAGTCCCCGGACACCTGTGATAAAGCTCCCCAGCGGCGAAGACCATCAGAGCCCGTTCCCTCATCGGCATGCAGGAAATGTTGTCGGCATTGGTAAGATAGGAGAGGAGCGCCCTCACCCACTTGCTGATAGACTCCATCAGCCGCGGGTCTCTCTTGGTCTTTCGCCTGCGTGGAGGAACACGGAAAGCCCTCGACGTGACGTAGGCGAGGTCCACTGCCTGCGTTGGTGGCAGCGCAGGCAGGATGGCCGTCAAGTGGTCAAGGTAGAGAGGCGCGACTGTCCGAAAGGCCTTAAGGCAAGGGTGGCTGCTGGCCGAGGCGAACATCGCACATGACTTCAAAGTGCGGATCAGCACGTCCGTCGGCACACTATCCACAACGTAGCTCGGGTCGGCAGATAGCGCCTCCAAAGAAGCCGTAATGAGCGGCGCCAGCATGTCCACCTCTTGCCGCCTCTCGTGTAGCGGCAGGGACGCCCTGCTCCTCCCATCACCAAGCACCAACGCGTCAAGGAACGCCTCGCAGACGGCGAGCGGTGTAGAGGGTCCTCCACTCCTCGGAAGCATCGAGTCAGCCGACAAATCGCCTCGTAAGTCCGCGATTTCTTGCTGGTGATGCTGTTCACCTGCCAGTGCTTGGCGCGGATCCATCGACGAGAGGTGCAGACCGATGTGGCGACGATTCATCGTTCGGAGTGGACGGGATAGAGGGAGCGTTGGGCTGAGGTATGCTGATACGATTGCCGGGATGCTCAGCATGAGGGAAAAGCTGAAGATGGGGATGAGTGAGGAAGCCATCCATCTAGAAGATGAACCAATGGAAAGCAGGGACTTCTGTTCCTGCTGGCAGGACGCACGCAATGGGTGGGGTGAATAGGAGCCTCCCCTCACCGCGAAGCTAAGCTCGCAGGTTCCCAGGTTGCGGTAGCAGAATTGCTCACCCATTCATTCATTCATTCAATCAGTCCAGTCATGCATTAATGCACCTGCAATGGGTTTGTGTAAGTGATGCACCTGTCTGGTTGGCTGTTTCTCTCTCTCTCTCTCTCTCTGTTTGTCAAGGCACACACACGGTCATCCACTCAACGGGCACACAAACACAGACACTCACATGCGTCCTCACACAAACACAGACACTCACATGCGTCCTCCCCCCCCCACACGCGCGCGCGCGAGAAGGGCAGGATAACGATAAACACACAGGCAGCCACAGTCACTCAGACGCACTAACACCAACACTCACACACACAGAGACACACAGACAGGGGTACCAGCAGTGCGCCGGCAGATCAGCTACACTAAGATGACAGGCAGAGAGTCAGACAGACAGACAGACAGACAGGCAGGCAGGGGCGCAGAGGACGGCACAAATAAATGGGAGCGGCCCATTTATCTCAGTACAGCACGATAGAGGGAAACGCACATCTCCTTCCCTCCCTCCCTGACTACTGCACCACACTCAGCACCTCTACCTCGTCAGCCACGAACTCAAGCGACCCACCCAAGAGAGCATCGCTGTCATCCCTCACTCCCGTGTAGCCCTCAGGCTCGTTGTCGCTGTGAGTCCACTGATAGAAGCTGCGGATGTCGGCAGCAGGCGGGCCATCGTCAGTGCGGCCGGCACCCACGATGATATTTCCACCGATTGCCATATTCCCGCCCTCCACACTCCCCTTCCTCCCCGCCACATGCACATACTGCCTTTCTCGTGGTATCTCGATCTTGGTCGGTCTGGGGAAGTGGCCGGCCAGTGAGAAGTGCCACACATCACAGAAGTACTCGTGCGAGCTGGTCGGGTCCTCGGGCGGCTGGATGCCGGCACTGATGTACACGCCAAAGACATAGTTAGTTGTCCTTCCTGACCACAAAGACGAGAGGCTTTGCATCGTCCACATTGTCCAGCAGGTCGCCATAGGTGGTGCCGTGGACAGACGTCCTACACACACACACACACACACACAGACGGAATGTGCCAATTCGCTGCTGTTGCCATGATGCGTGTGTCTACCGGTAGAGTGAGGTGAGTCGTGTGGTGTCGCGACTGCCCCCCAGTAGGCCAAGCAGCGCCTCATACTCTGACGCAGACAGCGACGTGCCGTCAGGCAATCCCTGCAGGTGGCGGAAACGGACCTGAACACAGGAATGAACCGTGCACACCAGAGAATCTAGTGACTGGGTCATGGTGTGTAAGTCCGTGTGTGTGTGGGTGTACTCACCTGTTGTGCGGGTCTTGCCTCCGTGCCAACAGTGGTCGACACCACACAGAGAATTATCACCATGACAACAGTCGCCATCGTGAAGCACCTTGTTTGTTGAGGTCAATCAGAGGCCGCTCGCCAGCCAAAAGAGGAGAGCGGGGGAGCGCTGACAGCGCTGACACCAGGATTCGGTAGACAGGACACTGTCGGCTTTGATAGATCTCTTCTTGGAGCTGCACCGGGGGAGGAAAGGGAGAAAGAAGAAGGGAAGACCGCAAGCAATTCTCCGTCAGTCGGATTCACGGAACCTAAAAGCCCGGCATAAGTATCGAGACCCGGTTTTGATCCGGGGACCTTTCGCGTGTTAGGCGAACGATCTTCCACTGATCTACCCCGACAGATGCAAACCCAGCGGCCCTTCCACTCCTTACCTCGGGATGGGACGCTTTTCGATCCATTCCCCTCCGTTGTTGATGGTGGTGAGATCGGAAACGGATGAGTGAGGGTTCTTCCCTCTCGCGCTGAGTGACGGTTCTTCCCTCTCGCATTCTATCTCTCCCCTTCTACCTCTCCCCTCTCCCTCTATCTCACCGGCTCTTCATTCATCAGCCCCTCTTCATCTATCAAGCTTCTCAGCACGAGCAATCATGGCAGCGGCGAAGCCCACTGAATTGGACCTGGAGTTGGGCGATCTCCCATGTCGGCCTGTTCCTCCGGAGCATTGGATGCGTCGCGTGGCGCCTCCACTGTCGCGTCCGCCAGACAGATGCCAGCTGCGGCTTCCCAGACGCCAGAGCAACTACTGGGTGAAGCGGTGGCTGCATTCCCACCTGAGGAGCAACTGAAGATCAACAGGGTGAGACAGACAGACAGACAGAGACGGGAAAATACGTCGGTTTTCACGGCATCTGTTCTTCGCTGTGTGCGTCTTCTTTTCCCTGTCCAGTTCCGTTCCATTGACTTCTACGTGGTGGTGTTGGTTCATCATCTGTGGTTCATGATTCCTGCCCTCTTTCTGATCGGTCTCATCCCTTGGTCTCTCACAGCATGGGCCCTCATGACCACCTTGGGTTACGTCGCATCCCTTGCAGCATTCATCAAGCGGCTGTCTGGGGTGACAGGCCCAAACGCCTCTTTCTCTTATGGGCGCGTTGGGGTGGCCCACGCTATTTTGGCGATATCGGTGGCCGTTTGGTTGCACCTCCTGCTGTGCTTTCCTGATACGTGGGGAATCGGAGAATCGGCCTTACTCAGCGGTTTGTCCGTAATAATCGTGGTGCTGTGTCTCCTGCCTTTAGCACGGGTCGCCAGCCCTGAGGCTGCCTTTAGCAGAGTGTGCCTGGAGATCGTCACTGTGCACGTCATGCTGATGGTGATCGAGATCCTCTCATTCCTGATTTACAAACTCGTTACGGTAGCTTATTAGAGACCTCCAGAGAGGGAGAGTGAAATAGATATGAGCATGTGTATAGTGCGTGTGCGTGTGAATGGATACAAAGGTAGGGTGTGCAGTAGCTATCCGTCTAGGTATGTGCTGTGCATTTGGATGGTCGTTTTCGATGTCATGGCGGCCACCCATAGCATAGTCTGCTTCATGGTATCCAGAACATTGGTCAGCCGGCTGATCTCTTTTGGTAGGTACGTGTCTGTCTGTCTGTCTGATGTGCGTGTTATGCTGTACATACACGAGTAGCCTGCCTGACTAACCTTTCTCTGCCTGTGCCCTCGCCGTCCATACATATCATTTTCACGATGTGTCTGCAGTGCGAGTGTCATACACGCAGCTCACGTTCGGAAAGGTTACATGCACGCTCTTGGTGCGCAAAAAAAGGCGTACTCTACGCAGTGCCACACACAAACACGCACAACAAACACGATTACGCGCCATCCATGCCGACATCCGTTCACCCGCCCCTTGAGTGTGCCATCGGCAGTGCTACTGTAACCGCTCCGGTGGCAGTCGGTCAGTGGAGAGAGCAGTGAGCGGAGGGGGGGG